CTTTTCATTTGGCCCCACTCCTGATTTTGTAAATATGATTTCTTCAGCTACCACCCCCACACCCCCCACACCCCTTTTTTTTTCCCAAAGCAATCTTTATTCACCAGTGAAGCACTTTTGAAATTCCTCTATCTGAGAGCAGAAACCATTACCATACACAGGTTTATAAGAAGTAGTCATTAATGCTCTTTTATGGTGGCCTTTTAGTGCCAAAAAGGAAGCTTTTAATTCTAAGGCACGGCAGTCTGGCTCTCCTTACTTAATCCGGAGGACTGGGTTGTGTCGAACGTAGCTTTCCAAGTGGTCGTTTTTCCATCTCAAACTCCAAACTCGCTACAAGAAGCTGTAGGCTGTAATGAATTGCTTGTGATGTCCCCCCCTCGTGCTGTGACAGCTCACTGGCAGGGAAAAAAAACAACAATTCACACTGAGGTACAAACAGATATATGATCATAATCAAAGATTGTTTGAAGGCATAAAATTTGTAGATTAAGTTATTCAACTTTTTGCCAGTCATTATTCAAAATTCAGTGATTTTTTTTTTGCATCGTTTTTTTCAGTCAAGCACATACGTGGCATTTTGATTTATTAAGCAATCTGAAGTATTGAATATGTGAGCTCTTGCCCTTGCCTAGTTACTTCTTTATTTTGTATGCATAGTAACTTATGGCAATGATGAATTAATTTCATTCAAGCACAGAATCTGTGATTATTTTAAATGGTAACCATATCTAGACTTGATCAGAGAGCTGTGAGGAGTCAGCAGACTGTGAAATGTAATTTCTATTATTATTAGATATATATATTTTTTTATTCTGAACTCACACACCAAAAGAATTCCATCCAACCACCTGAAATGTGAACCGATAATGAACGGACGTCTGGGATCACAGATTTACCGGTCACTTTTTTTCCCCCTCCGCCCTTTCTTTTGTGTCATCCTAATGAAAATATTTTTTGCAACTCATGCATGTAGAAGGTGAAAATGGATCTGTGTTTTAGATAGACACAGTGGAGAACATCCTCATGCTGAGAATGGATAGCCCAGGGACTCTGAACAAAAATTCCTCAGTGTTCCCCAGACTGTGTTGGAGCATAGGAGACAGCTGTGTATTCCCACTAGATGGATTGCCAGTGTCATAGTGTGTGTTTACTGCACATGATAGAGCGGGAGACAGGCCAGGTAATGAGGCTACATTAAGGGCTTTTAGAGCTCGCAAACAAAGATGGAGGGCTGCTTCTTTCCCCTTTAATGATAGGTGTGTGTTTTGTCGTGTATGTGCAGAACTGGGAGTGTGTGTGTGTGTGTGTGCGACTGAGGCAATGAAAGGCTCAATTTTCCTTACACCTTTGTTGTGTCACTTCTCCAAAGAAATCGGAGAATTTCTCCAGATTTCTGGGCCAAACGCCCCGTCGGGACACTTTCTCAGATTCCTGACGATGCAAGATTCAACAGTAAATATTTGCTATAACTGAAGAGGAAGCAAGCAATCGAGTGATTGTAGAGTTGCACACGAAATGAGACAAAAGCTGGAGTTGCTCTGAAGCTTTGCAAAATGAAGTGTTTTTTTTCTTTCTGTTGAACCTCTATCTTAATAGAAATGTTGGTGCCTTCAGCGACAGTAAATTTAGAGAGCTCAAAGCTATCTTCATCTCTTATAACCCAAACGCCGAGTATCACTGTCATCTTCCTTCCCAAAGCTATACGTCTGCAGAATTACCAGCATATTACCAGGTAATAACAGGCTTCCTCTTTGCTTCCGATCATGATAATAAGTGGTCTAGGTTCTCCCTCATTGGAAGATTATGGCTTGAGGAAATGGCATCAAATAGCGGGTGTGTTGAAATGCAGGACACCAATTTATGGATGTCAAACACACGTGCAGGCAAGCCGGCAGCCGGCGAGCCTCACTCATGCAGCATTAAAGCAGCCACATTGGAACGACGGCCTTGGCGGATATTGTAGCTGGAGGTGACGTGGTTCCTTCCAACCCAGTTGGTTCAGGACAGGCTGAGCTGGGGTCAGGGCTGGTACCCCTCAGGGAGAGGGCACCGTGGTGGGCTCATGCACATATACAGACGCAGTCTTACATGCATGCTTCATACAGTCACGCCCCCAGGTGCAGAGCATTGTCACTCTCGAGTATCGTGCATGTGTTTGTGCGCACACACACCCGTGTATGTGTGCGTGTGTCTATCTGTGACAGTTCCATCACCCCCACAGTCAGATCCACAGCTTGGTTGCCCGCTCGTCATTGCAGCCTGGCTGTGTTTCTAATTGACATTCTAATTGGCAGATTTGAATGCCGCCTTTAGATGGCTAATTAATTTATCTCACTGCTGTCATTAAGGTTAAAGCACCATCTGATCTCTGCGAATATACTTTGCATATATCTGCATTATCATTATGTTGCAGATTTTATTTTGGAGGAGGTGAGGAAGATTATAGCGTTGAGATTAAGCTGGCCATCTTATTATTTATGTATTCAGATTCAGATTTTTCTAACAGTTTTTTTAACCCTTTTTTTCTTTATTTGACTTTAACTTTTTATAAATAGTAATCTGATGTGAGCTCAGGTTTTTCTTTAAAAAAAAGAGTAAAATCACATTGATTTGTTAATACCAAAGTAGCAATTTTCCTTGGATTTCCACCATAGTTTGCGTTGCATTCAGATGTTATTAAAAATCCTCATTTCCTCGTCTCTTATATCTTCAGGTTTTCCGAACATCCGTCGCCGGTCCAAGAAAGAAAGCAGGAAAAAAAAAAAGAGAGATCCAAGCTCCATTAGAATGTTCATAAAATCATAGTAAAGGCAATCAGACAGTCTTTCTCTGAATATTTTAAACATTGGGCATGTAAAATTTATGCCTAATTTGAATACTTATTAGCCGGCTGATCTCGGCTGCAGCCTTGAGTTTCTTATGCTGAGATTCATCACCGGATTGGATGTCACATTGTGCCAGTCTCTCTCTCTCTCTCTCTCTCTCTACCTCCCCCTGAAAACATCACCACCTTCCTCCCTCTCTCCATCCCACACCCTCTCTTCCTCTCGCACTCCTTCACTTTCATTCTTCTCCTCTGCCTTTCTTCGTCATCCCCCACCCTTTCTGTCTATCTCTGCCTTCTTTTACTGCGTCTCTCTCCATCAGTAGTGAGCGCTGCGGTGTTAAACAGGGGCCTGTTTGTTCACAAGCACGCCTCGTCCTGGCCTCTTCCCTATTTACTTGTGTCCCGGGCAGCTGTCGCCCTGCTCTGTGTAATAGCTCAGCCCTGTTTGTTCTCCCTGCCTAGATCCTGTTTATCCTGGCTGTGGACATCCTTTAAGGCCTGTCCTGTATCTGCCCCTCGTCAAACACTCACACATGCACACACACACACAAACACAGTGAAGGGACGTGTACACACTTCTATTAAAATGGTATTTACAGGCCAAAGAATACACACGGTACCCATGTGGGCTGGGCACAAATGCACACACAAAAAAGCGCATTCACACACAATCATTATCATTGTTTGTCCCTCTCTGGTTGCATATATATGGATTCAGTCGTGGTGGTGGTGGAGAAAAAAAAGCTGTAAAAATATTTGTTTTAAAATGTAAAAAATAGTAATAGGACTGGAAATATTGACAGCTTTTTAAAGCAAGGTTCCTCCATAAGAGAGTCACTATATATATATATATTTTTTTAAAAAGGGGTATATTTTTAAAAATTAATTGTCTCACATTATTTTTTCCCCATTTTAATTTTCAGCATTTCAGAATTTCTTTCTCCTGCACACAATTTGTGATTGCGGAGTGCTTAAGTTGTCTTTTATTTATTGTGAGAACTGATGTTGGCGCTGCTCTTCTCTGCCCCAGCGAAGGTACAGAGCATTAAATGCAGGGGATAATGATAAAACATTTATTACTGGAAAGAGAGGAGGTAATATGCATAATTTATGCTGTTTTTAGCACAATCATTAGTGATATTCATGATAGAATCCTTTCTTCATCCCCTTTTTCTTCTTCTCAATTTTTACCCAAGTTTTTCCATATCTAATAGATGCTGACAGAATTAATTCAATTTCCTATATTTATTTACACTTTTTAAAATGTGGCTTTGACTTGTAAATCTGCCAGCAGAAACTTTGATTGCATCTCATCGACACCGGAGTTATTTATTTTTTAAATGTGGTAAAATAAATGAATGTATAAGGTTTGATTAAAGAAGAGAGTGGAGAAAAACATGATTCAAGCCAATAAGATGAATTATGAGCGTTCTTTCTCTATGGAAGCCTGCGAGGCAGATTTTCTTTAGCCACAGCAAGGATGACAAACCCATTATGGTGTTCATCACCAGCCCTGCACCATGTGATTTGGTGCCGCCTCCTCCACCTCCTCCTCCTCTTCCCCGCCACCAAATTTTAATTTTGCATGATTAGCCTTGCGTCATTAGGCAACTTCATTCAGATGCGAAACACACGAAAAATCGGACAGCTTCCAGACGGCAAATATTTTAAGAGTGCCCTCGCTTCTGTATTTTCCGTCCGTGGTGCCTGGCCGTCCTCAAAGTGCAATGGAGATATTAAGAATTAAGCACATGTTATTTAAGAATCCCATATTTTATTTATTTATATATATATTTTTTTTGCCTTTAATTCCTACCAGTGTATTATGTGTTTTTAATAATGCAAATACTAATAAAGCAATGCAGGTGCTCTGATTTACAGCCAAATTTTAGTGGCTTTAAAACCACATTTAGATATTCTTCCCATTTCAGAAAGCACCAGGACATGCATCTCTTTGTATTGCTTCATTTACACAATGAATGCATAATTGCTCCTCCTGCATCCCCCCTTTCTCCTTTTCCCCCCCTCCCTCTTCTTTAAATGCTTTAATTTGCAGAGGGGGACTGAGGGCTTGATAATGGAAGCGTAAAAAAAAAAAAAATAGGAGGGAAAAAAAAGGGGGGAATTGTAACAAGAAGAGCCCTAACCGGTGCCTCTTAATCACTTCTAGGTTTTAAATCATGATGATGCAGGAGTCGGCCACAGAGACAATAAGCAACAGTTCAATGAGTCAAAATGGAATGAGCACCCTAAGCAGCAGCCAATTAGAGGCTGGCAGTAGAGATGGGAGATCAAGCGCTGGTGACACAAGCAGCGAAGTAAGCACAGTCGAGCTGCTGCATCTGCAACAACAGCAGGTAAGTTGTGTTTCTCCCCGTCTCGTCTCTCTCTCTCTCTCACTCTGCCGCTCTCTCTCCCTCACACACTCCGTTTCCCCCTCGCTCTACCTCTCCGCTCTGCTGTGCTCTCTTCTCAGGCAGCGCTGGGGTGTTCTACATAGGCAGGAGGCACAATGAATT